CCCACTCCCTGCCCATTCCAAGATTTGAATAATCATCTTCCTGCCCAAGAAAAATCATGAGAATGTTGCATCCCATTTTCATGGGGCTGAAAGAGGTTTGCAAAAAGAACAAGAGGATTTTGGCCCAGCTCTGCTCTTAAGCCCTCTGGGGTGCCTAACATGTCGATGCTAAATAAGTAATTAGGATGGGGAGAAATCGAGAGCCTCTTGTCGCATAACGGGGAGAGGGGTGCATAATAAGCTTTCAGGGGGATGGTTTACAGATGATAAATCTGACACCGACAGCAAGGTCAGAAAGGTGTGCTGCCCTGGGAATCTTGATAGAATTTGATTGCACCTACTTAGTGTGAAATCATTTTAATGGGGGAATTTAGCACACACCGTGTACTTCAGAATATTCTCCAAGGATACAGCTGAGAGCTGAAGGATTTTTACTTAGTCTTATTTCCTTTAAAGCTTCAAAAGGTATGAGCATTCCCCCACCCCGGACTGCTAATAGATTTTGCTCGGCAGATTGTTCTCCCTTCCCTGAATGCAGCACAGTTGATTCCAGGGAAGCAGAATTACTTCTAAGCCTGAATTTTCAAAACTCATGGGAATGTGGGATTAGCAAGGCATATGAATGCCTTGAGCATTAAGTTCCTCTGAATCTGTAACCCTGTGGCACTGAATCTTCACTTTATTGCCGCACAGTCAATGAAAGGAGGCTATAGAGTAGCCCTCTAGCGCTTTATCTTTTAAAGCCCGGTTTTAACAAGCTTACTTCTTAGCAGATTTGCACTAAAATCAACGCAAAGCACTTTTAGGAGCATTTACATTTGAGGGGGAGGGCAGGAATGAATGCAGCTGTTTTCCTCTTTAGTTCATTTTAAGGCACATTAAGGCATAGCTTTCTAGAAGGTAGATAAACCTATAGAACAAAGAGAAGTTACATAACGGGCAGAGCACACAGGCACAGCATGCGGCACTGAAACTGGGGAGAGAGGCCTGCCGTGATTTTTCCAAAAACAGTAGGGGGTTGGGGAGACCACCCTGCTTCTCTCCATAGGCCCAAACATCCTTGGTAAAGCGGGATGACTTAAGTCCTATCCACCCTTCTTCACCTATAGGCCATCTATCTGAAGAGGAATGGTATGTGTGACAACCGCATTCTGGTTCCCTGGCTACCTATGGAGCCAAAACAAATCAGAATTGGATAAATATGACCATTTAGCCCTAGTCCAGATAGTCCTTGGACACTTGTGGCGCTCTTGTACATGGGTAGCACTTTTGGACGTGGGTAGTGCTGTGGTCTAAAACACTGAGCCTCTTGGGCTTGCCGATCAGAAGGTCGGCGGTTCGAATCCCCATGACAGGGTGAGCTCCCGCTGCTCGGTCCCAGCTCCTGCCCATCTAGCAGTTCAAAAGCACACCAAAAAGTGCAAGTAGATAAACAGGTACCGCTCCGGCAGGAAGGTAAATAGCATTTCCATGTGCTGCTCTGGTTTTGGTGTTCCATTGTGCCAGAAGCAGCTTAGTCATGCTGGCCACATGACCTGGAAAAACTGTCTTCGGACAAACACCGGCTTCCTTGACCTGTAAAGCGAGATGAGCGCTGCAACCCCAGAGTCGTCTGCGACTGGACTTAACTGTCAGGGGTCCTTTACCTTTTAGATAGTCCTTAATTGTACAAGCTCTCAGCAGGATTCCTTGCTCCCAAGGAGGCCTTTTCCTTGACACCTCTTTCACAGGCTCCCCAAACCTCTTATCTCGTGGATATCCTGGCCTCCTGGTTGTCTGTTTTCATAGACTTTGCTTTCCATGTGCTCCATCATGGTGTTCTGCTGTGCCAGAAGCAGTTTAGTCCTGCTGGCCACATGACCCATAAAGCTATCTGCAGACAAACGCTGGCTCCCATGGCCTGTAAGCGAGATGAGCTCTGCAACCCCTTTACTGGACTTAATCATCCAGGGGTCCCTTACTTTTTTTTTTTTTTTTTACACCTGTCAGCACTGACCCTCACCTACAGGAGATAGCCAACATTACCAGCATATGTCTGATAAGAAGAGAGTATGCTAGTCAGTGCCAAGATTCCTGAAATGGATACAGGACTGCCAACATTCACCAAACTGTAGACATTTGCTGTAACATAGGTGTACTCCCCCCTTTATATCATGGTGACATCCTGCTAGCATACAATTTAAATAAGCTATGTCATAACACTGCACTTTGCTAATGGTAAATCCTTGTTCTGGTACAAAATGTTTATTCATGTGGCCTCAAGAAGTGTTTATGAAAGCTGATGATGATGATGCCAACAACATACAACTGCAAAGTGTTCCATATACTAGGCTGGATCCAAAGAAACACATGTGTATAATAGGGCTAGTGAAAACTGACTTCCTTGTTTCTTCCCCTCCCCTGACAACCACCCCAAAACGGGGACCTCTGATGGTTGGTGAATGGGGTGAGCAGTACAAAGGAAGCTATCTTATACAGCGGTACCTCTGGTTATGAGCTTAATTCGTTCCAAAGGTCCGTTCTTAATCTGAAACCATTTTTAACCTGAGGTACCACATTAGCTAATGGGGCCTCCTGCTGCCGCCACGCAATTTCTGTTCTCATCCTGAGGTAAAGTTCTTAACCCGAGGTACTACTTCCAGGTTAGCGGAGTCTGTAACCTAAAGCGTTTGTAACCCAAGGTGTTTGTAACCCAAGGTACCACTGTACTGAGTCAGACCATTGGCCATTTTTGCTCATACACTGGCTGGCATCTTCTTCTTTGGTGATCACTCATAGCCAAGTAAAATTGCCTTCCATAAACACGGTTTTAACAGTGAGTCCGTAAGTGACTGTGGAGGCCAATTCTGGATCCACACGTCCTTCCACAGTGGGGACATTGGTTTCCGGGCAGGAGTTGATCACTGTGTGGATTTGGCAAGCGTGCCTTCCTCTTAGCACATTTCTCCCTTGTGTCCTGAGTTTGAGTGTCTTCAAAGCCCATGACAACTTTGGTAAAGGCTGTTCTCAAACTGGAGGACTTGTAGGCCAGTATAAGCTTGCCACGGCTTCAGACAGGAGCCTCTCCCAGTCCTATCAGGAGGTGCCAGGGACTGAACCCTCTGCATGCAGAGCGGAAGCTCTACCAGTAAGTTACTGCCCTTCCCTACACTACAGTAGTGTAGGTAGCTGAGAGGAAAGGGAAAACCCCAGAAAATCAGGTAGAGGCAGCCTCAGCAAATGGACACAAAGACTGTGTCAATCTAGTTTTCAGAGGTTCCATCTATCTCCTCTTAGGGGCTTGTCAGGGAACTGCCATCGGACGGAAGGGAGGTGAAAGGGCTCACACAGGTTGGGAGAGACGCAGCAGCTGAAGAGGAAACCAACAGGGAGGTGAAAGGGCTCACACAGGTTGGGAGAGACGCAGCAGCTGATGAGGGAACCAGCAGGGGGAGAGGAGCTGAGCTGGAGGGATGGCTCAGAGACACTTCCAGCGAAAACAGTGGAGAGGTTTCAGGACCTCCTGTAAGAACACCCACTCCTCGCCGGAAACTGTCACGCAGAGATTCCAGAAGACGTGTTTCCGTTAAGGAGCTTTTATGTTGGAAGCGATTACGAAAGCAACCACTGTCGGAATCTGCTAGTGACTAGAGTAGCCATGTCTGAGGGGCTCTGTCACAGACAGAGGTTTGTGGACTTGAACAAACTCTGAGGGGATACGATTTTACGCACAAGCAGCTCATCATCCCATCACAGCATTCCGACAGTCTTTGAAAGCAGCTTGTGCAGGAGAAGGTATCATGAGCAACCCAGCCGGAACCGGAGAAGCAGGAGCTGGAGCGGGTCCAAGCCTGGAAGAAAGGTACCAGATGTTGGAGGTCCAGCTAGCGATGCAGACGGCGAGGCTTGAGGAGAGGAGGGCTCAGGATGCAGACAAAGGGGAAAGCCACCCAGTTCGCCAGAAAGGTACCAGGATTGGTGCAGAAGTTTGGGGGAGCCCAAAACTATCATGGTTTTCGGACAGAAATGCAATATGCCCTCAATCTGCAGTTTGATGAATTCCCTGACGAGGAATCACGAGTGGCTTTCGTGATTGAGCATCTTGAAAAAGGGGCGAGAGACTGGGTTAGACCCCTGATGGCAGCGAATAGTGACGTCTTAAAAGACACGATGAAGTTCTTTCGCGCCATGGATCTGATGTTTTCCAGCGATATTGAAAAGGGAGTGGTGCGCAGACAGTTAATGGGTTGCAAACAGGGGAGCCGATCTGTCCGTGAGTACTGGACTGAGTTCACCATGCTTGTTCACAGATTGGGGTGGGACTTATCGGCGGAACCCATTCAAATGCTCTTTGAAGAAGGGCTTTCTTCGGCTGTGAAAGACGAACTTTCCCGGGCGCCCAGGGCGGAGTCTATGGACCAGCTGACCAAATCAGCGCTGGCCATAGGAGCGCGCCAGGAGGCGAGAGCATTGGAGAGGCGGGAAGGGAAAGGGGAACGTTGGAAGGAGTTCCGCATTCCAGACATTCCAGAGCCAACTTTCCCACCGGCAGAGCCGATGGAAATCGGAACAGCGCGCGCGCGCAGTTTCAAAGCCCAGTGAGGGGGCAAAGAAGGAGGGAAAAGGCGCCCGGAAATGCTATCTCTGCCAACAGCCAGGTCACTTTGCCAGAGTCTGCCCCCAGAGGAAAGAATGGCAAGGGATGGTAGGGGCTGTGGATGGAAGAGAGGAAAATATACCGGAGCAAGTAAAAGCCAACGCCTGGCTGCCACTGTCAGGGCACAGCAGCCAGGCCAAAGAGCAGTGAGAGTGCCCACGCCAGAACCTCCTAAACCCGCCCTAGTGATAGAAGTGACGCTAGAGCTGCCAAACGGACACCCTCTAAAGATAAAGGCGCTGTTGGACTCAGGCAGCTCCTGCAATTTCATGAGCAAAGAGTTTGCAGCTGAACACCAGATACAGACAATCCCTTTAAGCAGCCCCTTGCAGGTGACCACGATCGATGGCAGGGAGCTGTTGGGTGGAGAAGTCAGCTTGCAGACCGTCCCAATGATAATGAAGGTAGCAAGGCACACCGAACTGATAGCTTTTAATGTGGCCACCTTGGGAGGAGCTCCCATTATATTGGGGATGAGCTGGCTAGCGTTACATGATCCGCTGGTGGGCTGGCATCAGAGAGTGGTTTCTTTTGGTTCAGCACATTGCTTAGAACACTGCAAAGAGGGAAAGGGTTTGGCAGGGGTCCAAGCCACCCTAGCAGGGACTGAAGTAACAGAGAACGTGAAGGTACCACGACAATATGCAGATCTCCGTGACGTCTTCAGCGAAAGGGAAGCTGACCAACTACCCCCGCATAGACCCTTTGACTGTCAAATCAACTTACTCCCTGGAGCACAGCTCCCTGTAGGCAAGCTGTACGTCATGTCAGACAGAGAGATGCAGGAGTTAAGAGAGTTCATTGACAAGAACCTGAAGAGAGGGTTCATCAGAGAGTCCAGGGCGGTGGGGGCAGCCCAGTGTTTTTGTGGATAAGAAAAACACGAACAAGCCGAGGCTGGTGTGTGACTTCAGGGCCTTAAATGCAGTGTCAGAACCAGTAGCCTTCCCTATGCCCAGGATTGACGACATTTTGACAAGGGTGCGGAAGGGAAAGATTTTTACAAAGCTGGACCTAAGGGGGGCGTACAACCTGGTACGAATAAGGAAGGGGGATGAATGGAAAACCACTATGTTCACCCCTTTAGGGGCATTTGAATATTTGGTTATGCCCTTCGGCCTCCAAGCAGGCTCCGCAACCTTTCAATCGTTTATGAACCACGTCCTGGGGCCTTTGCTTTACAAGAATTGTGTGGCCTTTTTAGACGACGTGTTGGTGTATTCTGAGAATGAGGAGCAGCATGTGAGAGACGTCAGAGAAGTGTTGAGCAGGCTGCAAGCCAACCAGCTGTGGGTGAAACTGGAGAAGTGTCAGTTTCATACCAAGGAGGTGGAATTCCTGGGGTATCGCCTGTCAGACAAGGGATTGGCCATGGATCCCGGCAAGGTCCAGGCTGTGCTGGAATGGAAAGCACCCAAAACAAAGAAGGATGTGCAGAGGTTCCTAGGATTTGGGAACTTCTATCGTAAGTTCATCCGAAACTTTGCCCACCTGACGGCGCCCATTACGGACTGTCTCAGCAGTAAGAAGAAGTTCGTGTGGACTGAGGAGGCGGAGCGAGCATTTGAGGAACTAAAAGGGCCTTCGCCTCGGAACAACAACTCCTGCATGTGGATTTACAAAAACCGATGAGAGTGGAAACTGACGCATCAGACAGAGCGATTGGGGCGGTGCTTCTGCAGCCAGGCAAGAAGGGGTCAGAGTGGAGACCGTGTGCCTTTTTTCGCGAAAGCTGAACAAATCCGAGAGGAACTACACGGTGTATGACCGAGAACTACTAGCCATTCATGAGGCGTTCCGGAGATGGAGGCACCTGCTAATTGGCGCACAACATAAGGTGCAAGTGTGCACTGACCACAAGAACCTAGAGTATTGGAGGACGGCACGAGTGCTCAACCAACGGCAAGTGAGATGGGCCCAGGAGTTCTCCAAATTTAACTTTGAGATTAGTTACGTGCCAGGCCCAGAGAACATTAGGGCGGACGCTCTCTCACGCAAACCTGAATCTTTGGAGGGGGAGGGGGCACCCGAAGAGAGACATGTCATTCCAGAAGACCGCTGGGTGTGTGGGGCGGCATTGGTGGGACAAAGAGAACTGGTAGAGGAAACAGAGAATGATGAATACGCCCAGAATAAGCTCAGAGGTCTTAGGGGTGATGGAGAGGAACCAGGGGGTTTCGAGGAAAGAAATGGAGCTTTGTATTACAAAGGGGCACTGTATATCCCTGAAGGAGAGTTAAGGGGGGGGTACTCAAGCAGTTGCACGACAGCCCTACGGCGGGGCATTTTGGACAACACAAAACCATGTGGTTGGTCACCAGGGAATTTTGGTGGCCTAAGGTGAGGGAAGATGTACGTGAGTATGTAAGAGGGTGCGAGCAATGCCAGCGAGCCAAAGGGGAAAGGCGGGCGCCGGCGGGGCTATTAGAACCCTTACCAACCCCAGAACGACCTTGGGAGGCAGTGTCGATAGATTTTATGACTGATCTGCCGAAGTCCAAAGGGAAAACAGCCATCATGGTGGTGGTAGACCTACTAACAAAGATGTGCCACTTTGTAGCTTGCTCGCATGCAGTCACGGCGGAAGAGACAGCGAAGTTATTTGTAGAAAACATTTTTAGGTTGCACGGGGTGCCATTGAGGGTGGTCTCAGACCGAGGAAAACAATTTACTTCCAGGTTCTGGAGGAAGCTCATGAGCTTACTGCAGGTGGAGGTCAATTTTTCGACTGCCCGGCACCCTGAAACCAACGGGCAGGCGGAAAGAGCAAACGGTGTCCTCCAGCAATACCTGAGGTGTTATGTCAATGACAGAGAGAATGACTGGGTAGAAAAGTTGGCGCTGGCGGAATTTGCCTACAACAATGCCGAGAATGTGTCCACAGGGATGAGCCCCTTCTTGGCTAATTATGGGTGTCATCCCAGGGCTTTCCCAGGGGAGAGGGGGAGAGATGGAGCGTCCCGGCAGCCGAGCATTTTGTGGAAGAAATGGAAGCAATCCATCGTCAGCTCCAACTCAACTTAGAAAGGGCGAAGGAAGAATACAAGAGGCAGGCAGACAAGAACCGAAGGGAAGGTGAAACCATAAGGGTGGGAGATAGGGTGTGGCTGTCAACCCAAGGGTTGCCGTTCAAAGGAGGTTGTAAGAAATTAAGACCCAGGAGGTTGGGTCCCTTTGAGGTCATTCAACAGGTCAACCCAGTGGCTTTCAGGCTCCGGTTACCCAACCACATGAAACTGCACCCAGTATTTCACAGGTCGTTACTGTCACCGTACGAAGGGGGACGAGAAGGGCTGGCCACTCGGGGACCGGTCGTAGAAGAAAGAGAATGCAGCAGCCATGTGGCAGAAATCCTCGATGCCAGGTGGAAGGGGGATCAGGTGGAGTATTTGGTAGCGTGGGAAGGAGAACCGGAGTCAGAAAACACTTGGGTAATGGCTGAAGATATCAATGACGAGGTATTGATAGAAACGTTCCATCAAAGGTTCCCAAGGAAACCTCAGCCTGTAGAGAGGTTCCGGAGGGAATACTTTGGGACCACTGATGAAGGGGAGGAGTTGGAAGGATTCCCGGACTCGGAAGGGGAAGGGGAGATGGACTCTGAGGAGGAGGTGTACTTCGAGACCAGGAACCGCAACAGGTTGAGAGAAGTGTTCGAGACATCGGAAGATGAAGGAAGTTCATTCCGGGGTTTTGCCTCCTCACCGCCCGTAGAGGAGGGGGCGAGAGGGGGTGAAGGGGGCCCTGGAGGGGAGGTGGATGTCAGGGAACTGCCATCGGACGGAAGGGAGGTGAAAGGGCTCACACAGGTTGGGAGAGACGCAGCAGCTGAAGAGGAAACCAACAGGGAGGTGAAAGGGCTCACACAGGTTGGGAGAGACGCAGCAGCTGATGAGGGAACCAGCAGGGGAGAGGAGCTGAGCTGGAGGGATGGCTCAGAGACACTTCCAGCGAAAACAGTGGAGAGGTTTCAGGACCTCCTGTAAGAACACCCACTCCTCGCCGGAAACTGTCACGCAGAGATTCCAGAAGACGTGTTTCCGTTAAGGAGCTTTTATGTTGGAAGCGATTACGAAAGCAACCACTGTCGGAATCTGCTAGTGACTAGAGTAGCCATGTCTGAGGGGCTCTGTCACAGACAGAGGTTTGTGGACTTGAACAAACTCTGAGGGGATACGATTTTACGCACAAGCAGCTCATCATCCCATCACAGGGCTGTTGTGGGGAGGGAAGTCAGTTTCTGCCAGCTCGGTTATGTACATGCTTCTCTGAATCCATCTCACTGTTTTTGTTTGTTTTGTAATGTGAAATTGGTGGTGGGAGTCTGTGTGTCCCTCCACAGAGCATCCAAATAAGTCCCTGTAACCAGGACAACCTTTACTTTCAGCACGCATAACAATCATTATAACCTTATTATTTTTATTTTAAGGGGTGGGGAGGAAACCATATCCTTTTAGCACTAGCTAGTTTGGCATTTGCTACTGCATTTGAATGCCACATCTTTAAAGAGGTGATATATTTAAGTAAAACTATGCCATTTTAATTTTGAGATTATATCGACACTTTCAGCTTTTAGGCTAATGAGACGAAACACATCATAGGCACTTAATGTAAGAATATCTACTGCTATAGAAGCCAAGTTGGTCAGGGAGCACGTTGTCATAATTTGGGTGATCTTTTGGACTGCATTAGTAAATGTCCCCTGGTGTGAATGATAGGAATCTGCAGATGTTATAATTGCCTCGCTATAATTTCCTTGGCACAATTTCTCTTGAGCATTCCTATTGGTAGTCACTACTGAATACATTTTTTTTACTACAATGCTAGGTGAACTATGTATATTTTATGCATGGGTGGGGTTGTCTTATGGTCTATGCCTCTAATGGCAGGCTGACTGAAATTCATCAATTCTGCCCAGAAGATAAAGCAATAAAAAAGCAAGTATAAGAATTTTAAATTTAGTTGTGTTTTAGAATATACAGAAGTAGGGACGACTAGTCATGATGATGATATGCTACCTCAGAGGTTAGCAAATGGTGGAGGAGAGGCATGGGAAACTTACAATATGAGAAACATGGTTGCATGGTGAGTAGGTTCACATTTGACAGACTTGCCTACCATGAGGACATTGGTTTTCATGACATCCTGTGTCTACTGCAACCTGGGGCCTTCCAGATATTTTGGACTACCCCTCCCAGCTGACAGGAGTGGTAGTGCAAGACATCTGGAGAACAATAGGTTTGACAAGTCTGGTCTACTGTAATGGGTGCTCTGCCTCTGAGATACTATACAGGATCATGGTAAAATTAAATTTGAGTGAGTCAAGGGCTGGTTCATACATTCACACACTTCCCTTAATTTATTTACCCCTGTTTGGTGTACACTGGGATGTGGTTCGCAATACACTTTTATCAACTGCAGACGGAAACAGGCCTTGACTATATGAATGGGCTGATGCAGCTCTAACTCCACAGAAATAATTCTTATATTGTAATATTGCAGGCACATTGCTTTTCTATACAGTCAGTTCATCTGCTTGTCTGCTAGCATAGAGAAATCAGTTGTTTTCTTAAAAAAAAATATTATTTGGTTTTTCAAATCACAGTTTTACAATTACATATCCAACATACAACATAAAAACAAGATTCCAAAGAATCTCCTGGACTTCCCTCCTCCCCTTTGTGGGTCCTATTGTTAATCATCTTTTATAATAATATAATAATAATTATAATTACCCACGCGGGTGGCGCTGTGGGTAAAACCTCAGCACCTAGGACTTGCCGATCGTCAGGTCGGCGGTTCGAATCCCCGTGGCGGGGTGCGCTCCCGTTGCTCGGTCCCAGCGCCTGCCAACCTAGCAGTTCGAAAGCACCCCCGGGTGCAAGTAGATAAATAGGGACCGCTTACTAGCGGGAAGGTAAACGGCGTTTCCGTATGCTGCGCTGGCTCGCCAGATGCAGCTTGTCACGCTGGCCACGTGACCCGGAAATGTCTGCGGACAGCGCTGGCTCCCGGCCTGTAGAGTGAAATGAGCGCACAACCCTAGAGTCTGTCAAGACTGGCCCGTACGGGCAGGGGTACCTTTACCTTTACCTTTATAATAATCCAAATCTTTTACATCTCCATTATATCCAAAATTCACCATTAAACTACAAGTGTTAATCTAGCCCTACTAACAATTTTAACTGTTTACAATAGTTTTTAAGATAAATTGTAAATTTCCCCCATTCTTTATTAAAATTTTGTTCTTCCTGATTTCTGATTTTTTCAGGCATTTTTGCTGATTTGGCATAATCCATCAACTTAATCTGCCATTCTTCTCTGGCAGGGACTTTATCTTATTTCCATCTCTGGGCCAATAACATCTGAGCAGCCATGAACACATACATAAATAATCTTTTCTGCTTCATTGGGATTTCGGCACCTAAAATTCCTAAAAGAAAGGCTTCGGGGATTTTTTAAGAAAAGGTTATTTTAAACATGTTCCCCCAATTCATTATATATCATTTCCCAGAATTCTTTTACCACCTTACATGTCCACCACATAGGATAGAAGGTGCCAGTTGTCTTCTTGTATGTGTGAACCAGGCCTTGATGACTGGAAGCTGAGTGTGGGACATGTTCAAGGTGAAATGAAACTTCAACTTGTAGTGGTAGAGATCAGTGATGGAATCACACAGATGTAAGTCCTTATGCCAGTGGTGTCCAAACTTTTTTCAAAGAGGGCCAGATTTGATGAAGCGAAGCGCCGTGAGGGCCGACCAAAGTTGTTAACCTTTTTTTAGGATTGAAGTTGTTGAGCTTTTACCTCACAGCTGTTGAGCTTTTTTAAGGTTGAAGTTGCTGAGGGGTTTTTTTAAAGATTTTAACACAGGAAATAAACTGCCACAAGGGCCGGATTAAACTGACCAGCGGGCCAGATTACGCCCCCAAAATGGACTTTGGACATGCGTACCTTATGCAGTCATCCTAACACCAGAGCTTATGGGCATCCAGTGAAGGTGAACATTGGAAGATGAAGCACAGATAAAACAAAGTATTTCTTCACACTCTGCATAGTTAACATATGGAACCCATTTACACAGGAGGCAGTGGTGGCCATCAACTTGCAGGGCTTTCAAGGAGAGTTAGACAAATTCATGGAGAATAAGACTATCAGTGGGTACCAGCCATAATGGCTCGGCTCGGCCTCTGCAGTTGGGGGCAGTACTGCTTCTGGGTACCAGTTGCTGCAAACAGGAGGGGAGAGTGCTCTAGTGATTGGGTCCTGCTCACAGGTTTCCCACAGCCATTGGCCTGATCCAGTAGATTCTTCTTATGCTCTTATGTGATTAGCATACAGGTGTGTTTCAGTCCCGATAATCCACCCAGCCTAATCATTCCAATGAGCCAGTCCTAATAAAGTTTGTACAGTCATACCTCATGTTACGTTTGCTTCAGGTTGTGTCCCGCAGTGACCCAGAAGTACCAGAAAGTGTTACTTCCGGGTTTCGCTGTTCATGCAGACGTGCAAAATGATGTCATGCACATGTGCAGAAGCGATGAATTGTGACCTGCGCGTGCGCAGATGCGGGTTGCATTCTTTTCAGGTTGTGACTGGGCCTCCAGAATGGATCCCATTCACAATCAGAGGTACCACTGTATTTACACCACAATGGGGCATACAAAAAGTTTAGATTCAAGAGCAGGTATTGCAAAAAAAAAAGAAAGAAAAAAAGGGTAGCCTCTCCCCTCCCTTGCCTGCTTTTATAAATACATTATTACTTTCAAAGTGTAATGCCTACATTTTCAGATCCTTGTTTTCTTATTTATTTGCTTCATGGTGGATTATAAAATATGCATCACTTTACCTGTGAAGACTGAACACAGCTCGTGCATATTTAGGCAGCTAGTTTTTTTGAAATGCATGCCCTGAGGAACAGAACAGCTCAGGAAAAGCTTTTACACTCTGTCAATTAAATGCATATTTATCAAATACATGTATTATACATTTTTATAAACAATAGAGCCATGCAAAATCATTCTCATGCAAATTGTTTTATTACTGGCACCGAACAGTCATCTAATTTATAAGCTAGTGTTTGTCTTAAAATCATCTCGGGGTATGCTCTTTGCTGTGGTTTTTCTGGGTAATCGCAGGAACGGGGAAGCAAGACGCTCAGAAGCCCAAGGCTTGTTCATACAACAGGCATACCGCTAAGCTATAGTTCACTGTTATGTCCAAGGAACATAGCCAGTGTTTAAAATCTTCAGAGTGGACAATTCCCAGAGTAGTTTAACCATCAATTCTTCTTCCCAGAGAGTTCTGCGAATTGTAGCTCTGTGAGGGGAATAGCGGTCTCCTAACAACGCTCAGAACCTTTAATAAACTACAGCTCCCAGAATTCTTGGGGGGAAAGTTATGGCTGTTTATAGTGGTATCATAGTGCATTAAATGTATGGTATGAATGCGGCTTAGGAGCACCAAAATTTGCCTCAAAGGACATAGACAAATAACTATCAACTGAAGGAAGTGGTTCTCTCATTCCTGGAAGCAATTCCCCATCAACACAAAGGGTGGTTCTCGGTTGTAATATAAACAGCCATTCTAGCTATTTATCACAGGAGGTAAAAATAGCACTGACAATAGGCATAAACGGAATTCAGATTTTGTTGTTTGTGATTTGATAATTAGAAAACTAATTTAATTTATGGAGGCTGACAAACTAGATAATGAAAACTGCTATTACCAATGCACTAGAAATAATCTATTGATCCTGTGGTAGAGGAATTAGCATTTTTGATTTGATTAACATAAACTTTAAAGAGTGATCTGCAAGATCTATAGTATCTCAGAATGCCACAGCCATAAATTAACCTTTCACTGTAAGTTAAACAGTCCGCCTTTGTATTGAAAGAAAACCATCAAAAGTTTTCACATAATACCATTTTTCCAAGTGTAAAGAATTATTATTATTAGTAGTAGTACATTAATTAATTAATACCCCACCCATTTGGCTGGGTTTCCCCAGCCACTCTGGGTGGCTTCCAGCAAAATATAAAAAATAATGAAATGTCAACATTTAAAAGAAAGAAATCTTCGTTTATTGACTCAGAATTCTGAGTGCAGCATTCACTGAGGAAAAAAGTTCCATTAATTACCGTATTTTTCGCTCTATAAGACGCACCTAGTTTTTGCAGGAGGAAAACAAGAAAAAAAATATTCTGAATCT